GTTTTTCGGTGGACACAGTACATATTCTGGATCTGCTGTTGATATACCAATTGCTTGTCTAATCTTTTGAATTTGGCAAAGTCATTGCAGGCCAAGGCACTAAGGGGACACTGGGAGTCGGAGTCCTCTGAGGTGGGGTGCAGAGTTGTAGCCTGCTCCAATCAGCTTCCCTTGCAAGTTAAAATGGATCGCTGTTTATCCTGCTTTGTTCACGGTGTTAAGTCTCTGAACCAGCGGGGCCTGCAAGCACAGATCCAACACACATATGTTGCATTTTGAGGAGAAAATTATTTTGAGCGAAGAGAATTTTGCTTTGAACCAAAAAAATTCATTTCTGCATACAAGAAATATATTTCAGTGTCTTTTATTATCCATATACACACACACAATAACAGCCCTTCTTGCTCAGTTGTTGGCATTTGCTATGGTAAATGATAAATGGACTGATTCTTATATAGCACTTTTCTACTCTCCCGGAGTACTCAAAGCGCTCTATACAACATGCCTCATTCACCCACTCATACAAACACTTCTAAACTCAAGTGCAACCTAAACTACATTCATACACATTCATACTCCGATGAACGCATCGGAGGGCAACACGGGGTTAGTATCTTGCCCAAGGATATTTGGCATGCAGACTGGAGAAACCAAAGATCAAACCACCAACCTTCCGATCAGTAGCTGATCTGCTTGACCAGCTGAGCCACAGCCACAGCTCTTGCTCAGATTGCTGATCTGTGTGATCACAGAAATCGGCGGCACGGCTGCCACTGTATTGTTTGCACTCACAACATCTCTGCTCCGTGCACGCTCAGCTCTCGGTTCACCATTATAAGTTTGCTACAAAACCAACCAATCACAGACTTGGATGCAAAAATTCTGATTGGCTGTTATGGTCTCCAGGCAGCTCGCTAGCTACTGCATTCTGGAAACACGGTCCAGAATGTAGCTAAATCCAGGTTAGTATGTGTCATTATCTTATTTTAAATATATTATTTTAGAGACCATTATTGGTTATAATATAGTTTAAACCAAACCACTCCACTGGATTTAGCTACATTCTGGACCGTGTTTCCAGAATGCAGTAAATAACAAAATACATTGAAAGTCTGTGTCCTATGTCAAAGTAAAACAGGAAACACATGACAGGAACAGAGGCAAGGACTTGATACTGACCAGAGGGAACACGGAGTACAGGGACAGGAGTGACATGAGACACGACAAGAAGACAGAACTAAACCCACACTAAACATGAGGAGCACAGGAACCAAAACCTCAGAACTAGAAGTCACAAACAAAGATGAACTCAGAGGCTAGAGTCTTTTTTTCTGGTGTAAGACTTAAAGTGGTGTTTAAAAGTAAAAGTAAATACTGGATAAATACTTGTATTCATGTTTTTATTGTTTCACAAAAAGTTAGAAGTCTCTCACTCCAAAAATAAGAACATAGTGCAGATCAGTTAAATGCATCACGCTTATATCAGAATATATCAGTTCTCCCTGAGCTGCATCTTCTTAATCTAAATTGTGATGCTGTTGTAGAAGCCTACAGTGTATCCAGAAAGTATACAGCGCTTCACTTGTACCACATTTTGTCATTACAGCCTTATTCCAAAATTGATTAAATAAAATTTTCACCTCAAATTTCTACACACCTTACCTCATAAGGACTTGTTGGTGAGGAAGTCTCCCCCCCTCACAACGACCAAACTCTGTGTCTGACCTCAGCTGATGTGAGGAAAACTCTTCACAGAGTTAACTCAGGGAAAGCTGCTGGTCCAAATAACATCCCTTGGAGAGTACTCCGAGAACGCACAGACCAGCTGACAGATATCTTCACTGACATCTTCTACTTCTCCCTGAGCACTGCTGTCGTCCCAACGTGCCTCAAGGCCACCATCATCATTCCTGTGTCAAAGAAGTCTTCAGTGTCCTGCCTCAATGACTACCTTCCAGTTGCACTCACACCCATCATGATGAAATGCTTCAAGAGACTCCTCATGAGTCACATTAAGACCAGGCTGCCACCCACACTGGACCCACTGCAGTTCACCTGTCGCCCCAACCGGTCAACAGATGACACCATCGCCACCACCCTACATCTTGCCCTCACCCACCTGGACAATAAAGGCACATATGTACAAATGCTGTCCATAGACTTCAGTTCAGCATTCAACACAATCATTCCTCGGCACCTGATTGGAAACCTGAGCCTGCTGGGCCTGAACACCTCCCTCTGCAACTGGATCCTGGACTTTCTGATGGAGAGACCTCAGAGAGTCTGGATCGATAACAGCATCTCCAACACAGCCACACTGAGCACTGGAGCCTCTCAGGGCTGTGTGCTCAGCCCACTGCTGTTCACTCTGCCGACTCACCGCTGTGTAGCAGTGCACAGTTTGAACCACATCATCAATTTTGCTGATGACAC